CAGTGAACAAGCGAATCAATATAATAAGTGACGGAGAAGATAACTGTTATATATAACTTAGTTTGTATGAAGACAACTCAAACAATTCCAAGAAGTGGTAGAAAAGTCCCACCAATAAGAAAAGTTCGGTATTGCGCGGTAGAGTCTCAGAATAATCATTTATTACATCAAAGTTGTACTGAAAGTCAAAATACCAAAATATCGTTCAAAATTTCTACATTTGACTGTTCATCTCTTAAGATTGTAACTAATATAGTAACTTCATGTATTATCTATACATATAAAAAGGAACGAATCGAGCGAAGAAATTTCTTTTCAATTAGTTTTTCATCATGGCTCTACATATATATATATATATATATATATATATATATATATATATATATGATTCACAATAAAAGAATATTACTCATCGAGTAGATACGTTACATAATAATTATATAATGACATATCGATTATTAGATGGAAGAAAGAGGATTAATACTAATCAAAGTAATTATTCGAAAACCAAGCTGTTGCTACGTTGCATAATATGTAAAAGGAGAAGAAAGACCTAACAAAATATTTGATGAATGGTCAGTAATATAGTAGTTGTTTAAGAATCAAGAGACGAATGTAGAGAATAAGTAAAATACAAAAATGGAAGGAATAAGATAATTGTTTACCCAAGTTCTGTTACAGACTCCTCTATATCGATGGCCAGGGTAGCGAGAGTGGTTGTACAAACTTCTTTTGGATACAAAGGGTCGGTTTGTGAACATGGATTGTGATGGTTTCAGCTATGTGCAATAAACGAACTCGTAAACCATGGGACGAATTTGATGGAATATGATAGATAACCTTGAAAGCTTTATTCAATTCAACTTGATAACCTGTGTCCATCAAGTGAGAGAGAATAGAACTCTAAATCACTCAATCGCTCGATTCGTTCCTTTTAATTTGTCAAATGTCAAAATTGGAATTTTTACATCTAAACATATGCTGAAAAACAGTTAACTCGCATAATATTGATTCCTTAAAGTATTCGTTAAGGAACTGTTCACAAAAGACAAAAATTTTTCACATCATTTAATTACCAAATATTCTGAAGTGTTGTTCATGAAATTTCGAAATAAATAACTGAACAAAACACATTCATTTATATGAAATGATTTCCAAACACATATGCATATGTATATTGCTATTATAAATTACAAACAAAATGTATGATATTACTAATTTAACTAATATGAGTAGTTTTCTTTTATATAATGAACTCGTTAAAATTTCAGTTTTCACATTTTTCTTCTTCTTCTTTTTCTTCTTCTTCTTCTTCTTCCAAATAACATTTCATCTTAAACTTTCTTTTGTGTTTTTTTAAAAGCTCCGTTTAGTGAAAATTGTGTTATAAATAATTTTGACCTGAAAAACGACCAGTTTTTATTCTTTTGAAAATACCATGAAACGAAAAAAAATTTTCCTGATAAATGGCATCAATTTGAAACGTGCTTATCGATTATGACAAATTAAAAAAGAAAAAAGTTTGTAGTATTTCGAATATTTAAAAAGAAAGTTTGTTTAAATATGTGACTATTATTTCTAAACATATCGGTAGATAACAGTTGAGATTTTAATTGACTGAGTGTTTAAGTCTAAAGATTTTGAAAGGAGTATTCGGTGAGACTATAATTTATGGACGAGCCAATCAAAAGCGTTTGAAGGATTTAAAGGTCACGGCGCCAATTTCAGTACCTAAAGCTCATGTACGATTGGTTCACAGAGAATGCTAGAGAAAACTTGACACTTGAGCGGCTACAACAAATGAGACTACTAAGAAGTTCCTGTATTAGTAATTGCGAGTGTTAAATGACTTGTAGACCTTGTGCAGACTACCGTGATGTTGTCCTTCGATGTAATGTATGTTGAAGGAAGACGTTTGCTACAATAAAAACCTTTATCGCTTGATCCAGATTGAAACTAAGGCATATTATAATATCTGCCGCAGACTGTATAATAAAAGCATCAGTAACATTGGCTGCAATAATCGCAGATGTTACTGAAGCTTCGGCTGTTCAAAGATATGAGTATTGTAGTGACACATCCATAATAAAAATGGTAAACTTACACAACCGGAGTACACACAAACAGTAATGAAGCTATGTGGTCGAGGCTGAGAAGGTTTTTATGACCTTATCATGGCTCCAGAGACCAACTAATATGGAGCCATATGGATGAGTTCCTCTACCTTATGCATTACGATTTCGGAACCTTTGAACATTTTTCTAACCTTGACAAGTTTTTGGACCATATAAAAGAAGTTTATCCACTTTTATTATTTGGTTTTGTATAATATATTTTTACTCTATTCTGACTGTTTACTGATTGACTGACATTTCTCAAGGTCACTTAAGATGCGTTCAAAGGTCATCCATTAATTATAGTCTCGCCGAGTATTCTTTTCGTTCAAAAATTTACAGATACTTGGACGAAGAACATTCTTTTTCAATACATTCTCCTTAGATTTTATAATTATATACCCAAATTAATAATCCCAAAAGTAGCCATGTTTAAAGCAAAATACATTGTTTAATAATATAGCATGTGGATTTGGGATTGTTTGTTATATAAAGTAAAATAAAATCGTTTATGTTGAGATGACTAATATGAAGTGTTGACTTGAATAAATTTATACGTTAAATGAATTTGTGAGATCCGAATAGCTATTGTTTCAGAAGGTTGAACAAATAACTATTCAAAAAGCCGGTGCTTTACATTCAGAAGAAATACTTTTAACCGATCTTTTCACCATCCTCAACTTCTGATTCAGTCAGTTAATAATCATTCTGATGATATAGTAACAAAATTCGAACCCTTCTATTGCATTTTCATAGCTTACTATTGTCATCGATATTATCATTAATATTATTATAACACAAACATTTTAAGAAATTTATTCAGCATCTATCCTTATTTACTAATTCGTACGCAATTTATATTATTCAATATATTACGTAATTTCTGATTTGTAATTACTTTATTATCACTCTCACCCATAATAACCATATTTATTCTGAATTTTCTTGTATTTGAAAAAATATTAGAAGACTATTGTATTTAAAACATTAAATGAAGATATAGATTCAATGTTAAATTTATTCAAACTGTTCGTTTATTGTTATTTGTATTTGGATAATGAAGAGATAAACAAGGACCAATGACTTTCTTGTTATTAGTTACTTTATTTGTACGTTAATTTAAAATACAAAATTTTTCAATCACTGATGAAATGTAAAAGAAATGACAACTTGATCATAATCACTAAACCTGGACTTTATTTATTATCAGGAATTGAAAATTGCAATGTAACAATTCAATTCATTAAAATAGTAAGATATCATACTAAAAAAACTCCGTTGCTGAGGCATGTTTTGAATTAAGCTTACACGAAGAATAAAAGCGTATCTCTTAAGTATTTTTAGGCATCCAATAAAATTAACATATAAATGCACATTTGGTTTTAATTAAGAGAATCTACTTTCTATTAATATGCAATATTAAGTGGTATGAAAATTTTTCGTCTAAAAACCTTTCATCAAGAACACATTTTATGTAGTATACTGCACTGGTATTCCGTTATACTCTATCGAAAATGAAATTAATTTTTTTTGTCCCAAGTTATCTACTTGTAGCTTCAGTTATTAACTTTTCAACGGTGTAAGATGTTATGCATTTCATAAAATAATCTGAAAACTTGTTTTCTTCATCTATCGTTGATTCGTTGATTCAGCTGATGAATACAAGGGGTAATTGTTTATTTATTCAAAGTTTAAGAAAGGCTAACATGATTATGTGTTTTCAAAAATGATGCACTTATTGATACTGACAATAATTTAATAATGAGTAGAACTCGGTTAAATAAAGAATCTTACTTGATGCATTTCAGTTTGAAGTTAAATAACCATGCAAAAACCAGTACAGGAGAAGCTCATATAGGATTTATATTGCTAGTATTTCAACAAAATATGTTGTGTTAAGTGTTTCATTATGTCCAAAAGTCAGTTGCCTAAAGTCCAATATTTCAGCTTCCAGGTTTCGGATTTAAATATCGAATGAGTAATAATACATTGATCCTACAGAATAAGGATTGATACGCAAAGTGGAAATAAAACTGATCATTGGATTTCAGAAATTATTGTTTATTCTTAGGTTAAATATAAAGGCAAGTGATCAGTATAAAGAATAAGAGAAATTAGTTCCTTACTAACCGTACATTCTTATATGGAAATGCAATATCTAAAATATCACTATCATAGTTTTTAAAGCATATGTCACAGCTCCTGTTTATGAATCGTTTGGTAATTAAATAATATTTTTAGCGTACTGTCTATGTTCTAAGTCCTATAAAATACAAGTAATACATTTTCAAGAATTTATCTTGCTAGAATCATTTGATCTTATGTACATTGACTTTTGTTACTTATACAAAGTAACCTCCCTTTTTTAATCGTTCCGATTAATGGAAACATGTTTTTATTTATTTATTTGAAAAGAATTAATTCACTACATCCTTGATTATTTGTATAGTAATTCAAAGTAATCCATTCACTAACTACTTTTAGAAAAGCATATGCTATATGCTTAAAAACTACACAAAATGGATTTTAAACCATGTACTATTAAATAAGTGAATAAAAAAGTCTTTCTTTAAGTAATTATGTAATATATATATATGTATTGTTCATATCTACTGTAATAGTATCATTTGGAAATTAATTGCAGGAAATTCAATTAGACAATACCGAAATAAAAAATAATGAATAATTCAATAACTATTGTCTATCTCTTCCTCACCATCCAAACAAAAGTCACTTATATACATATACATAACATTATTATACTTCTTTGATATTATATATTTATATATACGTGACACAGACATGTATAATGTAACAATACTGACGAGAGATTGGTTTATACATCGTTTGCTATGAAACAAAAATGCCTCAATAGAAGGTTGGAATGTGAATTGAAAGGGAAAACCAGGTTACATCAACAAAAAAGGAGGCCTAAAGTTGATGTGTTTATCTTACTCTAATATCATATTTTTTTTTTAAATTTTATATCCCAAACAAATATCGTTAATGATAATAATAATAATGATACTATTGTCAATATTAACTGTCATTCGGCAGAATAATTGTAAGTACCTAACAACTACAATGAGAACATTAGGTCTATATTATTAAAACAAAGGTACTTGTACTTTAACATTATTGAATTATTTCCAAATTTTATTAATATGTTACATCAAATAAATCAATTATTTGTAATCCCAATTATTAACATTGATTACGTAACAACCAAATTATTTATTCAAGATACATAAATTCACACCTTTCAAAAGGTTTATTAATTAACTTTGAAATGTATATTTCAGTAGTGAATCATGTCCTAATGAAATTTTTTTTTAAAAAAAATGAAAGTGTCAATGAGCTTGTAAATATCTACTTACTATTGATACAATGTACATATTCATTCATGATAAATTATAATTAGACAATAATTGGAATTAATTTCATAAATAAAACTAACTTGCTCTAGTAATTTAACATAACAATAAAGGTTTGTTTAATATGTATTGTAATGTTTTCTGAATTATTTTGAATAATGAATTTCTGTGACTACTGATTGAGACAATATTTTGAGGTTATGCGCTCATGCGCGAGACTGATAGATCCTGGGTTCGAATCTCGCGAGGCGGGATCGTGGATTCGCACTGCTAAAGAGTCCCACAATAGGACGAAACGGTCGTCCAGTGCTTCCAGGTTTTCCATGGTGGTCTAGCTTTAATTGACCCATTATCTCAACTATTGAAAAAATATATATTTGTAAACACATGTAATTAACAGTTTGTCTGGATGCCTTTTGTTATAAAAATAATTGTCTAGTATAAATGAACAGATTACTAGTGACAATATTCAATTTATCTCTTATAAAGATTATTTGAATAGTTATTATTACATTTTTTTTCAATATTTAACTGTTCTTTCGTTATTCTAAATAACATTTAACAGAGAAATTGAATACCTATTAATTAGCATTAAAGACCACTGGAGTTAAGTGTAACGGGTTATTACACAGGGGTAAATAAAACTTCATGTCGTTCAGTAATGTTGAGAATCTATTTTATTTACGAATATAGACAAGTTTAACATGTTCACTGTTAAATGCTTAGATCTTATGTTCGATTCTCTGTAGCAGATTTGTACAGCTTAAGCGTTCCAAACTATGATACAACATTTATTATTCCTCACTAGTTTTTGTCATTTCTCTGGATGATATTTATCTATGATACAATTACCTTCAAATCTAATCAAACCCTAACAACCCTGTATTTTAATGATATTTAGTTTCTTACTCTTCTGAAAATAAGTTATCAGATGTCATTTTATCCCAAACACCGATTTTTAATCTATCCAGCTTATACAAAATGCATTAGTCACTTACATTTGATTGGAAATTCATTTTACACTTTGAAAATTTCATTTTCAAGTGTTATCAACGACCCCGCAGTTTATTCTGAAGTTATATAAAACTCACTTTAGTAAAACGGGATTTAGGATTTCAAAAGGTTTTTGTATAAATCTGATAACCCATGAATTGATGTATGACATCTACGATGCCTGTCAATATTTCTATAATGCTATTTATCTGGATTATCTCATGACTCTTTACATGTAATAAACATGAAACCGTCTTATTTCAAGGATAAAGAACATAAGTATATAACGGTTTTATTTTATTAAACATTTAAAAATTCTTTGTCAAACACCTATTAAGAAAATTTTTGACTTTCGTATCTTTATGTAAAGCAGACATAATAATTTGATTAAGTATTTTTCAGTACTTTTAAGAGAGATAGATATGAACTAAACAGTCAAAATGTTATAAAATATCAGGCCAACAGAAGATTACATGTAACATGTAAGAGACAAAGGTAAAACATTTTCATGTAGCTAAACTTTTCCAGTAAAATCTAGAAATAAACCTCAGTGCCCCTTTTCATATTTCTGCCAAAAAGGGGTGTAGTAAATTTTAAAATGTACCCTTATTGATTATTTCATTTGATCAATGATCAACAATAATGTGTTTAAATAACCTGATACACCATAATAAAAACGTAAAATGTATGTATGCTTCAATTCTATGAATTAACTGTTGTTATTTTCCCCAGTAATTAGCTATTGTTTTCATTTAGAAATGATTTATACTTTAGTTAGTTTGTTGAAAACAAAAAATATTATTTAAATGACAATAGAATTGTAATTATAAGTAGTTTGTTAGACTAGTTTGTTGACCTAATTATTATTTCACTGTACATATATATAATCTTTTCTTAAAAAAATAGTGAATGAAATAGAACCACACAAAATTAATGTGAAGCTGAATATTTACAAAACAGTTGTTTCGATCCATTTGGACTTGATTCAGTTACAAATTAACAGCATCTTGTAGTCGGCATACATAAAATAAACAACACAATTACATTAGATACATAAGAACTTTTGTCTACAATAGAGCGAATAGTTTCACAGTATTTGGGCGCCGAGTTGATGTAAGACATTAAATAGGAATAATATATTTGTAAAATCTCATCGAATGAATTTGAAGTAAATCCAACGTTTCGCCTGGCAATTCGGCCCAAGCTTTTTCAAGGAAATATAAAAGCTTGGATCTAATTGATAGGCGAAACGTTGGATTTACTTCAAATTCATTCGATGAGATTTTACAAATATATTATTCCTATTTAATGTCATACATTAGATTTATTTGTTCAAAAAGTTTTATGTTAATAACGTCGGTTATTTTACGAAATTATAGTCTGAAAAAAACCCAGTTTACAAAATACTTTGTCTAACTCAATACAACAGAATACTACGCAAATTATCTTAATTTTGTCATAGACATATTTGAAAAGGTATGAAAAGACAAAATTATTATTATTAAACAAAAATATAATTAGAATGTATTATCGATTGTCCCACATACTAACTTAGTTCTAAGATGTTTTCAAGTACTTTGAGTAACATAGTTTTATATACACTTGATATTGTTTGTTTGAATCTTCCCATTGATTCTTATAATACTTATAATGCTTGCGAATTAAGGCTATATCAAGGCAATACGCACAATATGCACATATGCCAAAAAGAGACTGATCAATTGCAGTCCTAAACAACAATGGAAAGATTTAAACAAACATTACCAAGTAAATTCAGACTTCATACCATTGCACAAGCAAGTGGCTATCAGGACTCAGTAACTAAGTGGATAACGTGATGGCGTTTGAAGCGAAAGGTAATGGGTTCGAGTCCCAGAGTGAACATCGAATCTGAGATGCAAGTACATCCAGCTGGCGAGTCCCCAATAGGACTAAACGCGCATCCTGGATTCCACTGCTAGCCACTATCCATTTTTGCTTATAATAGTTTTACATAGTTTAGGATTTCCCGTGAATAACTGATATCATGCTTTTTAATATTTCATCACCATACATAATACAATATCAAAAGCAACTCTTTAAGCTATTGCTACATATTATTCTCTACTAATTCAATTTCATTATTATTTGAAACCGTAGAAAATCAGTTTAGAAATCTACAAATTTTACTACAAGTTACGCTTTATGCAAATGTTATTACGAATACTAACCTACGATAAAAAAACAATTTTTATGCATTGATTAAATAAAGAAATGACTAGTTTAGCAAAGGAAGTCGTTTTCAAAAACAATTACTTTCAATGTTGAATAGATTAAATTAAATTAAATTTGCTTTTGGCGTTTTCTTTGTTTTTCACTGTCGAATTTACACTTTCATATTGATTTCAGTTTATATATATATTAATGTAAGCACGTCTTTCCTTTACATAAACTTAAACGCTCATCAATAATCAATATTGATAACATAGTTTCATAAGTATTCACGCACATATAAAGTTAGAATGAGAGGTAAAAAACTAATTGAGTAAGTAAAACCAAGATCCAAAAGGATAAGGTGAAAAGTAACTACCTAACAATTAAGTACATTCACAAGCATTCTAAGCAAAGATGGATAACGGCTAGCGAATAGGACGAACCGTGAATACTGGATTCAACTGCCAGCCACCATGCATGTTTGTTTAGAATGCTTGTGAGGCAATATGCGCAGTGTGCATATATGTCAATAAGAGATTGATGAATTGCAGTCCTAAACGTCAATGGGAAGATTTAAGTAAACGATACAAAGTGAACTTAAGTACTTTTCGGAAAAGGGTGCGTTGTATAGAGAGAAAAGATATAAAATAATTAATCATTTGGAAATATCAGTGGTGTCACATTTATGCTTCATTTCATTGGTTAAATTTATTTTGTAGTATAATATTGAAAAGGTTATATGCGAGAGATTGATGAATGTATAGCTTGACCTTAAAGATTAGATTCAAGTCATTATTTACTTTACAAAATTTATAAATGTACAGTCCCAAAACTTATTTACATAAACGAATATTTTCATAAAACTTGGAACGCAAGTATATTAAAAGTCATAAATATCGTACAAAATCGTTGACATACACAGCTGAGATTAATTCAAGTTCATAACGAAATCAAAGTGAAGTAAGGCTACAGAGAAATTTGTACGAAATGAATAATAAACTGTTTTCATCAGTGAAACCTAGTTTATAATTACAGTCCGAGGAATTTCTTATAAAAAGTGTTCTTATTGTGGTATTTGCAAACGTATTTACGTATGTGCATGTTATTATTTTCAACAATCAGTGACATGGGGTACCCTGAGGCTGTGTTCTAAACCTGTAGGTAGCTCTAGTAAATCCAAGCGAAATGAATTCGGGTAATTTGATACTAAACAAAAAAACATTTTATTGAAATTAAGCCTTTTTTATTATGCTGATGTTTAATTGTATACAAGGGTAGATAGATGATATAGATGAGGCTAACTGAGATGCTTCCAATCTTTTCTAAACAACTTACATTCGAAAATGTATATATAATAAGTCCAGTAATCAGTTCCTACTCACTCAAACCTGAGAATATAATGAAGACTATCAATTCCTTTGAAATCAATTTCATGTTCCGTTTTGATTGGTTATGATTTCCTCATTGACTTGTCTGTTCAATCTGTTCATTCGTTATCATATCAAGTGTGTTTCTACAATAAAAAATATTTTTTTTAAAATTCAAGTCTGCGTTGAGTTGATTATTTTGTTTTACTGAAAAGAAAATTTGTATTTTTGTCACAAACATTTACACCTCTGCTTTGGACGTCTGTGAGTATCTAAAATAAATAACCTAATGTGTATACATCCTCTAACTCAATATTTCACAGATTGATTAACAGTAGTTATTTAAATTGTTAAATTACCGCATCAAATGAAAACAACATTTTTTAGATTGAATAAAGTAAGAAATAAAATATTTATTTCCTATTGACTTATTTGAACTCATAGTACACTATTGATTTGCTTATTAATAGACATTTGGCTACAACATTCTATTCCTAACAAGCACATTCATTGTCTCAATAAATTTGTTTATCATAATTTACTTCCATAGCTAAACTCAC